AGAACCCACATGTTCACCAGTCAGTCAGTTTGTTTGTTTGTTTGCCAGTTATCGCGGGCTATAAATATAACTATAACGCTAATTGCAAAGCAGAGACAGAACAGCTGAGCTGTGTTGTCTGGGCACACACAGTAGGTGCCAAGACTTTGTTTCTGTACCATTTAAATCAAATCAAGGTTAGGCACCAGTCACAGTGGTATACAGACCTGTCGGCAACCAACTGGCAACTATGTCTCTACAGGAAAATGTGTATTCCATGACTGGTTGCGAGTGGTTGCTTGGGTTCTCTATGAAATTGATTGCCAGAGCCCCATTCACACTAGGCCGAAAGACCAGTCAGTGACCTCTCTGGTAACCACCAGTTGCTAAGCAAAAGTGTCTATTCCGTGAATGGTTGCCAGCGGATGCTGCTGGTTGCTAGTGCGGAATAGGTTGCAAAGTGATATACAGTGTTGCCTTCTACCTTCTAGTGATTGCTTTTATCACTACCTGGTTGTCATGGTTTCCAGTTACATGGAAGACAACAAACAAGACAATCAAGCAACTGAACAAGTGGCAGTGAAACTGTAAAAAATGCGATGTATACCAGAGATTTTACTTGATCAGTTATATTTTTAAATATTAACATTTGGGGGTTGGGTTTTTCCCGTTTTTTCCCAATAAGCAGAAGTTAACAACAAAATAAAAGATTATAGCTTCCCCCCCCCCCTAAAATCAATAAGGCAGGGTTGGTCCCGTCTAAGGTGGTGGTAACTCTTGTCCATTGTCATCCAGTAACTATTTTTACAAATTAAAACGTGACGCTCAGATTAGTGTGGAGCAATTTCACCAAATCTGAACTATTCAAAATCCTCATCACTGCTGGAGTTTCTCTTCAAGGCTTTTTAATGTGTAGCTTTGTGATATGGCTACCTGATAAGATTAGCTAGTTTTATGTTTTTCAATAGCAGGAATGATATCATCCTTTATACAGATGACATGTCCAGACGTCCATGTTAATTTGATGTTTTAAGCCTTGAGTGGTTTAGGCCATATTCTCTGTGACTGAAGCTGAAAGTGTTTAGCAAACCCCATTATTAGATCTGTCCCAGTGGCCATTCCCATCCCAGTGTTGGTGATCCTAGACGCGTATTATCTTGATTTCTTCTACCACCCAGCCTGCTCTTACAAGCATCTCTAAAGCATTTTTCATCCGTCTTCTTTGCTTCTTTTTTTTTCTCACCCGAGGCTCTCCAACGGTCTCTGCGCCTATTTCCTCCCTGCTTTTCATCACTTAGCCTAATCTCATGGTTGAACAGGCCTCCGGTCAGCTGTCTTCTTTCCCTTTTACGCTCTCTTTTCTATCTTCTCCCTCCCTGCTATCCTATTCCTTATTACCCCATCCCCTCTGCTTCCTACGTTTGCAATTGCATGTTCCTTTTTACCCACTTTTGACCCTAAAGCCCATGTTAGGTGACTTGCTGTGTAATTATTGTGTCAACATTGGCAGAGTCTCTCTCTGTGCAGCTGTTTTCAATGCCAGGACTTGCTCTCCACTGCGACTCAGAGGTCAATTAGGCAGCAAGTGAATGTAGCTGCGGGATGCCGCTAATTGAATGGGGCCGTTGGGTTTAAAGCATTGATTGTGGAGGGATGGTTTGTGAGCTGATCATTGCTGTGGTGACCTCCAGACCACAGACATACCTCAGAAACGTGTGTGTGTGTGTGTGTTTGAGTCTAAATTCAGATTGCTATATAAGTGGTCTTAACCTGTCTCCAGTGTCTCCGTTCTACAGGGATGACTTGTTTTGTATTGCCTCTACTGGCACTGCGTTAGACCAGAGTTATATATAGGACAGTAATTCAGTATGAATTAAGAACACACAGTCAATACAAAACAGTGCAATAATGGACAGTTAAAGACGCATGGGTTACAAGCCTTAGTGTCAGTCCCAAGCATGGACAAATGGGAGGGTTGTGTCTGGAAGGGCAAAATCGAAAACATGCGGATCCATCCACCCTAAGTGAGTAAGTAAAAGTTTATTTGTAGCTTGGCAAGTTATGCTGCAGGGAAAAAGCGTCGTCAAAAATAACACCTAAATTTCTGATGCTACGCTTCTGCGAGAGATCCAGATCACTCAGTTGCTGTTTAATGTGGGACACTGCACTGTCCAGTGCAATAATCAAAGTTTCAGTTTTATCTGGGTTTAATTGTAGGTAGTTGTTATTCAACCATTGGTTAATGTTTGTTCAGCAAACTCTTTTTAAACCAAGCTTAAAAGAGCAGTGTAGCTGAATATCGTTGGCAAAAAGATGATAAAACACATCACTAAACTGCTGTATTATGTGGCCTAAAGAAGGAATATTTATTAAAAACAAAATAAATCCCAACATGGAGCCTTGAGGGACTCCACATAGTTGCTCTGCAGATTCAGACATAATCTGGTTTAAGGACACACTAAAACCGCACATCCCAGCAAGATCCCTCAGCCTGTTTAACATTGTAGTATGATTAACTGTGTCAAAAGCTAAGGAGAGGTATTTTAAGACCAAGACTGTGTATTCTCAAGTGTTTCAGTGGAATGCATTTTGCAAAAACCAGATTGGAAACAGTCAAAGTTGTTGTGTTTTTCCAAGCAGGCGGTAAGGTGGGCAGCAACTGCCTGCTCACTTACGTCTTGACATAAAAGGGTGTTTGGAAATTGCTCTATAATTTTGATATAATGTCAGGTCCAAGTTGGGGTGTTTTGAGCTTTGGTTCCACAGTGGCTTGTTTAAAAAAGCTGGGGAACATCCCAGTCTGAAGAAAAACATTAAAAGGTTTACAACCTATGGGGCGACAGTCAAAGACTTTGATAAAAACCTTGGTGGGCATGAAGACGGCTTCATTTTATGTTATTTGCCAGGGCCACCATATCATCAAATTTCACAGGTGTAAAGGTAGACCAGGAGTAAGAATTAGATGCCTCATTAGCAGAATAAGCTAGCTTTGGGGAGTTTTTGACATTGATTTCTCTAATCTTATTGACAAAAAGCCCTTTGGAGTGCACATTTATAGGTACTGTAGCTAGAGACAACTGGTGGTTACCAGCACTGATTTTGTCAAAAAGACCTTGGGATTTCTCTTGTTCTTTGATATGAATCTAGAAAAATATTCTGATCTGGTATTTTTACTGGTTCATTTAGGTAGAGCATTAGATCTTGAAGTTAGAGCCTGGGTGCTTCAAGTTTTCTTCCATAGTCCTTCAGCTTTGCAACACATTCTCCTTAAGTTTAAAGTAGACTCATACCTTCTGTGTGATAGAACTTGATAGGTGCCACTTGATCCAAAATGGATAAGCATTCTCTGTTACAGCACTGGACAAGAGTGTTTACATGACTTTTATTAGAACGCAGAGAAATGTCAAACATGACAGCGGACCTTTCAGCAGTAGTCTCAGTTATTATGCATCGATGAGTTTTTGATTTCAGGATTGTTTGATTAGAGCTAAAGTTGAGGTCAGAAAAGACACACTTATGGTCACTCAAATGCACATCCTCCACAACCTTGGTTCCTCTCGTGTGATGCTCAATAATGTTGATGGCCACAGAAAAACAAGGTATGGTTTTTCAAATGAGTTGGTCCAAAAACATGTACTTTTGAACAAAGTTAAAATAATCAGATATAGATAAGAGTTCAGCTGCTATGTTTGATCAGAAATCATCAATATGAATGTTAAAATCCCCAAGAATGAGAACTTTCTCCAACTTAATAATATAAGATAAAAAGTCGGATAGGAGCAGCTAGCAGAGCACAGTTATGTAGGTGAATAAACTCGCCAACCCTCTGCCATGTTTCCTTGAGAAACAAAAAAAAATCTGTTTTTTCCTGTGAAAAGCTCAACTAAGTAACTAAGTAACTCAGCTAAGGAACAAAGACTGGTTGGTGATGGAGCGAATGTTCAGAAGAGCAATCCGACAGTGTAGGTTTCGCATCAGGTGGCCACAGTGGGACTGACAGCAGACCTTGTCCGTTCACAAGATTTCCAACTGTGCCGCGTGACCAACCACTGGTTTGGCAATGCAAGACCCAGGGCCATAGTGGTAAGGCTGCAATCGACAGAATCCAGAGGATTACACGAGAAGAACCAAGGCTACAGTGGCTGTGAGGGTGTATTTCCAACCACAACCTGGAGAGTAACCGGCAGTCAAAACGGTGAAGCCTCCAGGTTGGTGGATTTCCAACCTGGAGGCTCGTCTAATCTGTACCTGGATGCCAGACGCTTTTCCTTGATTTCTTTTTAGGATTTCCTCAGGTACGTTCCGTGACTACTAAAAAATATTCAGGTGAGGAAGTGAAGCACACAAATGGTGGCGGAAAAGTTTTCTTATAACTGTTGCAATCATTGAAAAGGTGTTCCGTAGACCCTTAGATGTATACACAGCAGAAGTGAGTTGCTTGGGCTGATATTATACCAGAAAATGCATAAAATACAAGAATAAATCACAGACAGGTAGCTGCCAACCTTAGCACAAGCCCCATCTTTTGCACTGTCTGTGGCAACAGCAACCAAAAAACCTTTATTCGGAATAGTGTTATAGTGTTACCATTTGCTAGTGCTGATTTTTAATCTTAATTTATATGAAGAAAGTAAAGCAAGTGTGAGTTATGTTTTGAATTTGAATTTTCTGTTTGTTTTTTTTAAATACAGACAAAATTAGGGTTAAAATACCAGACGGATACCACTAAGAGAAGTATTATTTTAAGGATATCCATTGCTGGTCAAAGCATTTGTGAAATAAATGTAATCTAATTAGCAAAAAGGCTTCAAATGCAATCTGTTATCTTTCCTTCAGATCAGAAGTAGCTAAATATAATATTAATCATGTGATGTTATCAGCTCACACGGAGGGTATGTCACTAGGCCCTGCAGTCCGTTTTGGAATTCTTTTCATTATGCGGTGTGAGCGAGCGGTCCACTCTCAAGGCTCCACAGGAGCGCCCCCTCTCAGTGACCGGCGTTCCTTTGATTGTGTTGCAGGATCCCCGAGGCAGCGGATGGTTTTGCACTGAAACATCTCACATGCGTTACTAATGAAGACAGCAAACGTTTGTCATTCTCTGTGATCAATGCTTTACTGATCAGTCTGACGTGTGTTTAGAGCTTTAGAGTGGTGACAGCTGACAGCTGATGGCTTTCAGTAGCAAATGCATTGTTGTTAATTCGCCACAGATCTCAACATAACATCTGCTAGTGTATATAACAGCGGGGGGCCTGCTGTGCTGCCAGGAGATGTTTCTGTGACACGTTTAAGATTGGCTGACTGACCTGATTTTGACCTACATGCATAAAATATATAAATATATTATATTTTTTTTTGAACTGCTACCACACCAACCATACCACCTCCCTTTATATTTTTGTACTTACAAGCCGGCACATTCTGTTCTATGTTTATTGGCAAATGTTGTGTTGCAGATCATGTTGACTCTTTGAGCCACATAAAGATGTCTTTTTTTTTTTTACCTCTCCTGCACCCTTTAATGATGAGTTTAGGTGCATCTGTATGTATCAATAAAAATGTGATTTGATGACCATCAGAACAGTTTCCGGGGTTTTTTGAGGGTAGCTGCAAAGGCAGAGAGCACCCTCACCAACTTCCACCCAGTCATTTGGTTTCATAAGCAGTCCTGAAATATGACAGAAAGCACTCAGTTCAGAAAAGAGCTTCAAGGGTAGGTAAGCTTCCAAGGGGTAAAGAGTTAATGTATTACAGAGGTGTTTTCAGGATTGTTTTAAAAATCCTGTGAGAAGATTTGCCATTGAGGACAATGAGAAATCAATAAATACTGTATTGCAGCCAATGAAGTATACGGGGCGATTGTGGCTCAAGAGTTGGGAGTTCGCCTTGTAATCGGAAGGTTGCTGGTTTGAGCACCGGCTTGGACAGTCTCAGTCGTTGTGTCCTTGGGCAAGACACTTCACCCGTTGCCTACTGGTGGTGGTCAGAGGGCCCGGTGGCGCCAGTGTCCGGCAGCCTCGCCTCTGGTAGCTTGCCATCACCAGTGTGTGAATGTGTGTGTGAATGGGTGGATGACTGGATGTGTAAAGCGCTTTGGGGTCCTTAGGGACTAGTAAAGCGCTATACAAATACAGGCCATTTACCATATACTAGCTGCAGTGGAGGACAAGGTTGAACCGAAAGTAGCTAAAACAAATGCAGTCTTGTCTTTTCAAAGTAAATGTCTTCCCACAATATCTGGGAAGTAAGAAATTTCAATGCACATTAAAGAACATTATTTGCTTACTTTCTTACATATTTACTGAGGAGAAAAAGTGTTTTCCTGTTGCAGTTTCCTCCTGTAGTTGCATCAATATGACACCACAGTTTTGGGGAAACTTTTGTGAAATGTCAGGATGCGTGCAGCGGCACCCAAGGCCGCCTATTCAGTCACGCACCTGTTGTATTGCAAGTGCGATTACACATGATGGCAGACAATCAGCCGCTGAGGCACAGAGCTGCGATCGCATCCAGATGAACCGATGATTAATTAGGTCTGCATGTCATTAGCACGAATGCGCTGGAGGACCATATGTGTCATCTTCAGTTTTACTATGCCGTTCCTAAAAGGGATCTATTGAATGGACATGTGCGTGTGAGACGCAGAGAGAGGAAAGAACGAGAGATGGGAGGGATTTCCAGCTCATTAAGATTCAGATTAGCGAAGCCATCCACTTGTTGTCCTCGGGCCCTCTGTGGAGCGGCCTGCTCTTCTGTGTGGTTCAAGGATTTACTCAGAGCAGACACAACATGAGAAACACTTGGGAAAGCACTGGATAAACACATTCATCAGGACCTCCCTCTTCCTTTCTTTTATCTTTCTCGCATTTACTTTCTGTAGCTGCTGCTTTCATCTGTGTTTCTGCTGTCTCTCTTTGTCTCTCGCCCTCCTTTCCTAAGCCCAGCGGCAGTCTTTGTAGCTTGTTTAATGTTTTTTTTTTCCTACCCCCGGCCGTACTCAGGTTAGACACGAGTGGCGCCTGGCTCTAAGTCCGCCGGCCCAGGCGGCGGCGACAGCAGCTGCAGATCCTTAGAACCTCGGCTGCCGCCGCCCCCTCACCACACCATCACTTAACAGCGACAGCTCCGAACTCCTTCCTTCCATATGGTCACCTCCAAAGCTGAACCGCCTTTCGAGTCAGAGAGGGGGCTGAAGTGATTGTTCAGTCCTTTTTGGATATTCATGAGGCTTTAACATAGGAGATGTGCTTGATTTATTTTACTTTGAGAGACCGGTCAGTGTTGGAGGGTGGTGGAGTGCCGAGTAAATTGAGTGCACTTCAAAATATCTCCAAAATGCCAATGAAGGAAAAAAAAATAGGCTTATGTTGCATGAATGTCATTCATTGTTGAGGCTGTTGGAAGGTGGTGAGACCGTTCCATCAGTTTTAAGTTGTTTTCTGAATAAAAAAAATTGCATTAAAGGGTAACTTTCTTATCGTGGAGAGTGCTGGGAAGCTTATGAAAACAGTTGTGTATTGTCCTCTCAAGGGAGCTTTGTGAAGTCTGATCAAGTGGGGTCAGACTGTGGTAAAAACTTGGAATATGGAGTTCAAATGATGTGGGTGTTTAAATGGCAAAGACAGCCAGTGCTGCTAAGCTGCATTGTGGATATTAGAGAATATAGGGATTTTAGAGACAAAAAATACGGACATCTTAGCCTTTTCTACTTCATTTTTCTTTTTTGATCAATTTTGTTTTAAATCTTTTAATTGCAGGAATCCTCTTTAGAGCTTAGATCTAAACTTTTCATTTTCTAACCAGATTAACTTTCTTTCTTTTTCCATTAATTCATAATTAATGTATTATTAATGCACCGGTCCTCATAATGTCATGCCATTTTTAGGGCTTTGAATGCAAATATGAATAATGACCAGCAAACAATGAGCCGTGTGTCATTTTTCATGTCACGAACTCCAGAAATCATCAACAGATTGGTGCCGGGTGGTGGCAGGGGGTTGTTTTTATGTTGTTTTTCTTCATCCCCATGACTCACGCAGTGTTGCTTTTTGATCCGATGACATCTCCAGCCGCTGCCGCCACACTGGAGCCTTGCCCTTCCCCTTCCTTTATTTCTTTTATCTACATCTGTGGATTGTCGTAAAACGTCTTTAATCGATTAACGAAAGTATAAAGAGTTCTGAGATTTAAACAGAAAAAAAAAGGTGAAGCTCTAAGTGTTGCCCAGAGGTGCAAATGACAGATGAACGTGGCACTCTTAAAACTCTTTCAGAACTTCTCACTCCTCTTTCTCCTGCAGGCTTGTCAGAGTGCAGATTGTCTTCCAAGTTTGGGAATTCAAATATTCTTTTTCAGATATCGGAAGAAAGAGGAGTCTCCAGTGATGGCTGCTGCTGCGGCACTGTGTACCTGTTATGTGGGTCTGCTTCAATGAGAAAACACTCTTCTCCGGTGTTTTCCTTTTGGCATAGTTTACATTCCAGCGCAGATGTAGGATGGAGGTTTTGTCTCCAGCTACCACTGTAAGAAACCAAAACGTGTTGCAATGTTTCTGTTCGGCCCGGCCCCTCCTGAGTCGTTAGTATGCATAACAGGCACACTCCGGTGAACAGGTCGAGGTTGGAGGTCAAGGGTGAGTGGAGCTAATGCTTTCATGCTCTTGATTCAGCTCCTCTCGGGTGTAATACCCGCCTGTCAATTTGTTTGAGCTGCGGATTTACATAATGAATTTATATTAGCCACTGTTCTCCACACACTCCCTCCTTTACTCCCGTCTCTCTCTCTCTCTTCAACTCCTCTCTCAGTGTTGCAATTACTCCCTTTGCTCTCCCCTTCCCTCTCTCTCTCTCTTTACTTCCCCTTGTTCTCCCCCTCCTCCTTCTCTCCACTCCCCTCATCCTCCTCTCATCAAGTTTACCAAGTGCCCAGAGAGCAGAGTGTTTAAATGCAAACGAGCCTCATTTCCAAACTGACGCCACAGCCCAAGTATGCCTCGCACACAACAGCTTCAAGCCCCGCTGAGAGGTTTCGACAAGAGATGGATGGATGGAGATGATGGAAACAGAGTGAGAGAAAGCGTGATGGAAATGGAGAGAGGAGTGGGGATTCTTGGAAGTGCCGCGTGTTTAAAATAGGACGCAGAGCGGGAGTGCGGCGGAGCTCGTAGGTGTCAGGCGCTATTGACAGTCCCGCCAGAGAAGAGGTGATGAACGAGCCACTGTCTTATTAGTCAGAACATTCCATTCACCGCACAATGAGGTATTTTTAATTTCTGCTCCGGCGCTGCTGCCAAGTTCAACACTATCGTAGTATTTCGTGTTTATGCACTTTCATCATAATAACCTCAAAAAAGCATTGTCAACGCTCTTATTGGTTTAACCTACAGTGGGGTGAAAAAGTGGTGGTGTGTTTGCCTCCTTCCTGATTTTTGTACGTTTGTCACACTAAAATATTTCAGATCACACAAATTCAAACATTAGAGAAAGATGACAAAATTAAACACAAAATGCAGTTTTTAAATGAAGGTGTTTATTATTAAGAGGGGAAAAAATCCAAACCTACATGGCCATGTGTGAAAAAGGGATTGCCCCCCCCCCCATTTATAATTAACGGTGGTGCCCTGATTACTGCCACACCTGTTCACAATCAAGAAATTACTTAAATACGACCTGCCTGACAAAGTGAAGTAGATCAAAAGGTCCTTCCTCCGATCCAAGGAAATTCAGGAACAAATGAGAACACAAGTAACTGAGATCTCTCAGTCTGGAAAAGGTTATAAAGCCATTTCTAAAGCTGTGGGATTCCACAGTCTCCACACTGTTATCCAGAAATGGCGAAAACATCGACTAGTGGTGAACCTTAACATAAGTGGCTGGTCAACCAAAATTACCCCAAGAGCACAGCAACGACTCATCCAAGAGGTCATGTTGATGATCCCCAAGGCTTTTGAGAAAATACTCTGATGAGACAAAAGTTTAATTTTTTGGAAGGTGTGTGTCCCATTACATCTGGTGCAAAACTAACACAGCATTTCAGAAAAGGAGCATCATACCAACAGTAAAACAGGGTGGTGGTAGTGTGATGATGTGGGACTTTTTTGCTGCTTCAGGATGTGGTAGACTTGCTGTGCTAAATGGAACCATGAATTCTGCCATCTACCAAAACATCCTGAAGGAGAATGTCCGGCCATCGGCCACTTGGGTTCTGCAGCCTAGACAATGATCCAAAACACACAATCAAGTCCACCTCTGAATGGCTTAAGAAAAACAAAATGAAGACTTTGGAGTGGCCTGGTCAAAGTCCTGACATTAA